TACTTACTAAACCTGAACAAAAAAATAAAAATTTTTTCTCCAATTCCTTATTTCAATTTTTTTTAATGTTTGACAGGAAATGCTTTGATTCAGCTGACTGCCTGTAGAGGGCGCAGCAGTAGGGGCACGGGGAAACGCGAAAAAAGTGATATATTCGCAAATGCAGATAAGCTATCAACATTAAAAGTAGACAATAACCGAGCTAGAACCTCAACGCATGTTGTCTAAAAATTTGGGCTTAAACGGTTCAGAACTTTTTTTTATTACTCCACGAATAGGTGTTAACATGCACGGTTTCACAATCCAAGGGAGAATTATTCTCTATTTTCGAACTAAATCTTATTGAACTCTTACTAACAGACTTCTAACCGACAGACTTTGAGAATTTTACGTGTTTCGATATTCCGACCTCATTAATAAACACTGGTTCCAAATTGACCCTAACGCAATGTGGCGTGTTCCATATGATAATATTGACGCTAATTTTCAAAAAGTTGTTGCAATCCTCAACGAAAAACATGCACGGTTTCTCAATCGAAGGGGAGAATTATTCTCTATTTTCGAACTAAATCTTATTGTACTCTAACTAACAGACTTCAAACCGAGAGATTTTGAGAAATTCGAGAGTTTCGATATTCCGACCTTATTAATAAACACTGGCTACATATTGACCCTAACACAATGTGGCGTGTTCGATATGATAATATCGACGCTTAGCTTCAAAAAGTTGTTGCAATCCTCAACGAAAAACATGCACGGTTTCTCAATCGAAGGGCGGAATAATTCTCTTATCCACACACGGCAGGGCCACACACTTCACCGGCAGAGCCCAAAGCGGCAGAGCCACTCGGCATCGGCAGAGCCCACACACACTTGGCAGAGCAGCGCATGGCAGACCACCCGACCCGCCGATCCCCCCAGCGGGGCTCATGTGCGTGAGGAAGAGGTAATCATCCCTAACCCTACTGTGTGGAAGCGACCCACTGTTGACGGAGCCGCAACCTATCAGGGTTTCCCTTCGGTCGTTTCGGGCGGCACATGGGTTACGTGGTCGCCATGCCTATACCCATAGGTGTCCTTCCACCTAGGCAAGTCCTGCGGCTCCGATACTCGGGTGACGTGGTCGGGGACGCGGACGCGCCTTGGTCGGGTTGAGGGACGGTCGGTCCAGGACACCAAAACCACTGGTAGTCTCAGTGGATTAAAAGCCGGGACTGGCAGGAGCAGTAGTAAGGTTGGGGACGAAGCATTGGAGGACGCACGCGGTTGCCATCGGGCTGTATTTTGGGTTACATGCCCAAGCGCATGAGTACAATCGACTTAGCAAACAACTAAGCCATTCGGGAGCCGAAGTCCCAAACGGCGGAGCACACGACGCAAAAAACAGGAGCGCAGAGTTTCAGACCCGAAGCTCAGAAACACGCAGGTACACGAACTTAACATTTACGAAGACAGCTCACATGAAAACTCAACAACAACTAACACATTCTTCAATAAGCAACCAAATATTCTACTTCAAAATTCAAGATAAGGACAGTGTTCACCAAGCGAGCAAACGGTCAATATGGAGCAAGCAGACAGTCTTCATCGAGAGCTCAACCGGCTTAAATCCAGCATTCAATCAAAGGACAGTCTTCAACGAGCAAGCAACCAGCTCACATCCAGCGATCAACCAAGAACAGTCTACACCAAGCAAACAACCAGCTCACATGCAGCGATCAACCAAGAACAGTCTTCACCAAGAAACCAGCTCACATCCAACAAAAGGGCATTCTTTACCAAGCATACTCCAGGATAAACCTTTGAGCATAAACCATTACTTCACCACCGCCGCGAACCAAAGGCAAGCCGCACTTGCTACGCGCTTGTGACCGAACCGTGGGAGTCACTTGGATCTCCAACCGAAAGAGCTCATGAGCTCGAAACCATCCTTCTGGAACTCGGCAACGGGCCCGACTGAACGCATTCGGACGTCAACCTGAACACTCGGACGCTATCCTGACCTAGCTTGTAAAGATGGAACTCAAGTACGGAAATGCCTCTTCCGGGGACATTAATCCAATGTCGCAGCTCCCACCTAAGATGGAGAATCCCAATGGCAACCAGACACTCGCGATTCCACGAAGTACCTCACCATCGGCTCGGAAGTCGGAAGGTAACACACGAGCAACCACACTGCTGGACATAAACAACTGCTCTCTCTTGGTTTACAAGGCCACAAAGTGAGGACTAGTGTTTGACGGCACCTCGGACACCCTTAGTTTCATAGAGCACCTAGAAGAACGACCGGCCGACGAAGCTATGGTGGCACTCCGTAGCCCGTCACGGACCTCCGTCCGACCGTCTTAACGGACGCCGCCAGGGACCGCTATATCATTCAGACGCTCGCGTCGCCAGTGGGACCATCAACGTCCGCCGAATCGCGGAGCCGAGCCCCCATCCGGGATGCGGTAGAGCACCATCTGGTTGCGTTAGCCGCTGCGAGACTCACCCAGTGATCCCCGTCACCACGCAGGGATTTCAGCGTCGTGCTATGCCGCGCTGACACCCGGAATCGCCCGGTGATGAGGGTGCAACACCACCCGTCCAACGACGAGTACCGGTGTCGTTTCCGGGCTAAACACGAGTAGGCCCGAGCTGAACTCCAGGAGAAGCCGCGGCGCATCCTACTGGGCGTCGGCCAGCACCGCAACGACAGAGATACCTCCACCGACGAAGAAGTCGAGCTGGAGCAGATCATTGTCGCGCCCGAAGGATGCCACATTGAAGGAGGGAGGATGGAGATAGAACTACATACCCTGATACAGGAGAGGATCCGACTGGCGCCAGAACGCAACCGGAGGCTTCTCGTCGAGAAACTGGGTACAAGTGACGGGAAACGATGTCATCGTCCGCTTTCATATCCATCCCCAAAGTAGGAATGGGGTGTAAGGAACCGATGGTTCCCCACGCACATATGTATATATTTGTAGATGTAGTTTTGTATATAGTAGGAGTAGTATAAGAAATCAGACAGAAGAAGTCCCAAGGAGGGCACAGTGTTTAGTTAGTAGTAAGAATAGCAGTAGGGATAGCGGGAGGAATAGTAATAAAAATAGTAGTAAGATTAGCAGTAGGAAAAGCGTTAGGAATAGTAGTAAGAATAGTAGTAAGAATAGCAGTACGGACAGGAGTAGGAAGTCTCGCAAAAGGTGGTGATCCGGTTAGGAAGGAGCGTGCGCCACAAGAAGGCGCCGGGGCCTAATGCTGTACACAAAAGAGTACTAAAACTATCCTTCATGCTTCACCCGAGGGAGTTCGCTACCATGTACTCCAAGTGCCTGGAATATGGTTGCCCTGAATATGGTTGCCCTGAGTGCGGATCTGGCATTATTGAGGACGCGCACCACGTAGTGTTCGATACGGGAAACGGCCGAAGCCCAACGCTCGCACACAGAGCTACGTGCCAGCGAAGGGCAAGAACGGCAGAGCAGCAAAGAGATCGGCAACATAGGAGGGCAGCCGAAGGCCCCTCTGCCCGCCGATCTGGTTTCCAACCCGAAAAGAGGAGCCGAGCTCCGCGCGGACTGCCATGCCTCTTGGAGCCGGTCGCCGCGAGGAGCCAGAGTCCCGGGCGACCCAGGATCAGGACGACGACGCGGCCAGCGACTACAAACGACACCACCCACCCGACCCGCCGATCCCCTCAGCGGGGTTCATGTGCGTTTAGAAGAGGTAGGGGTAGTTTTCGGTAGGGCCAACTCTTAGACAATAAACATTTTTTTGTAAACGCTACCACTGTGTTTTGTCCAATTAGGGCAGCACATGGCCGCCGGTGGGACAAGCGTCGGTATCCGGGTGACGGGCTGACCCTGAACCGCCGGGAAGCCGGTGCAGAACAACCCCCTTCCCCCTCTACTCCTCCCCCCCTGTTCCCCATCTCGGCCTTTCGGGCCCGATATCCTTCCTGTCCCCGAAAATATAAATATATTTCTGTGGAGGATCCTGGGCCGGCTTTGTACGTAGCCCGGCCCGTGATTAACATCCTTACAATAGTATTAATGGAATCGAGCTAACTCCAGAATTGGCAACCGGGGCTTCCTAAATCGGAAAGAAAGAACTGAATGATTAATAATGTTGGTAGAAGTTGACTTTGCAGCGGTTGCAGCCGGCAATTGCGACTTGCGATGAGCTGCTAAGCCTCGATTTATTTTCGTCTCCACATTCATGAACGCTGTGGAGAATTCAATCCGATGGTCACTCGCTATCTCCGCAAAATCCAATTTTTCCAGCGGAGTCTGTGCGGAACAAAGGCCAGGTGTAAGGAATTGATCTAATCCATTCGTGCGCCGGCTATGTGCACTCAGGTAGTTCTGTATGTATGTATGTGCGTCTGCTTGTTGCTTATGACCGAATGCCGAATGCAAGCAAAAACACTAAACAGCGAACACTGGGTTGCAGACTAGATGTTTCTCTACCTCTAATATATGTATTATGCTAAAATAGAAAAAGGATGTTGCTGAGTAACGCAAGATATACTTGGTATCCAAAACTGAGAAAATGAGGAATAAAACAAATTAATGTTTATAAATATGAAAATGTAACCTGTTTATAGATTTGTTACAATTTTTCATTTTCCGGGTGATAGTTGATCGACCGTCAGGCAGGCAGCCAAATTATTATGTTTTTCTCTTTTTACTGTGGGTGCATCGATCGTTTATTCCATTCACGTAATTAAAGCAACACCGCTACCCTCCGAGAATTTTAATTTTTGTCTCTGATCTTTAAAAACAGTCAACAACTCATTATTGATAACCTATCGAAAATCAGAATTAGAATTCACAGACTCAGGAAAAATTTTTAATTCCTTTATTTTCTTCAGATACATTTAAACAAATTAGTCGTTGTTCTCTAGAACTAGAACATAAATTATTATTAAAAAACGATAGTGTTTTCTTAATGAAACTTAAATGGAAAGATTGATAAACAAAACTTTTTATGTAAATACTTAAGTATTACTTTATTTCTTATGCAGAAAAAGGTATTTATATATGCATTTTTATAAGCAATTTACTGTCGTTCTTCATGGCGTGCCTAATTTGTAGAATTTTTTTTCAAATTTTTTCAACTGCAGAAATGTGGTCTGGAAGTTCACCATTTTTAAATCTTTCCCACATACGTAAGAACAATATTTCTAGACCTTTGGCATACTGAGAGCAATCAAATAATGGACTTTCAACTCGTGCTTTCCATACTTTAGCTCGTACAGCTTTTAAATATTCCCGTTTTGTTCCTAAACGTATAGCAATATCCTGGTATTCTTTCCGTGTATGTGCTATTAATTCTGGACATCCTAAGGTTGCAAGCTGTGAAGCTGCAACTCTGAAAAACAAAAAAAAAAATTAGTCAATCATTAAAATTTATGGATTAAATATATTTTTAGATATAAATTTTAATTTTTGGAACTATAAGTTTGCAACGCAGGAAAAAAAAGTGCGCCCTGTCTGCCTATCCGTCTTTTCGCTCTCTATAGAATCATTGCATTTTTAATAATTTATTTACGCGATTGTGAATCAACGAATTCAGTTACCCTGTAAGGCTATATAAATGACATATATCGACGTTATCCTGTAAAAAATAATACATGAATTGACGTCACTTCATTAGTTTTCGACATATTCCGTTAAAACCTAAGGTATACCAGGACTTATTTTAGTTTGTCGTATTTGTATTTTGGACGAAAAGGTTCGTCTTGATTATTTGATGCTCCGGTTCTCAAACATATTGCAATCATATGCTTATCGGAGTATTTACCATTTAAACTCTGCTGACTGCTGAATTGGTTGTTTTAAAATTTAACCTACAAGTTAAAATATGTTTTCTTAAATTATTTGTTTAGGCTGAAATGTTGTATTTAAGTCTTCACACAATATGGACGTTGTTGGACTGTACACTCAAGTGGCACTTATGAAACGTGCTTGTTAGGGTTAGGTGTTAGTAGTCGCGATAGAAAAGAATTTGAAGAATTCTGGCGACCTGCCAGATTGTTTTTAATTTAGGGAGAGCATTTACGGTAAAGATTAGTGGATAAAAATCATTATAATTAGCACATAAGACTCTAAAAAGTTTATGTAATTCCAAGAAAGTTCTACACCGGCGAAAAGCTAAGGGTATATAAGATCCAGTATTTCTAGTCGTTACGTGGAAATAGAGCCGACCGGCACTTTCACGGATAAGGTTATAAATAAAGGTAATGCCTAGCATAGGTCTACGGTTGGCTAAAAAAGGTAAGTTAATTAGACAAAATCCAACTTAGATAATCAACTGAGATTTCATTAAATCGAGTTTCATAACAAGGAAAGAATGTTTAACAGAGTCAAATGCTTTGCTGAAATTAGTATAGATTACATCTGTCTGAAAATTATTATGGAAGCCCTTTATAATATAGGACGAGAGCTCCAAAAGGTTAGTTGTTCACATGGAGAACTAATTGATCTACAAACGGTTCCCCGTTTAACATCAACTTGCCAACGGTCGCTGCATTTGTCTATAAATACATACACACATAAACGTATGCCAACTTATGCATATATTTCTGGTCCTCCAATTCCAATAAGGTTCACTTATCGACGCTTCACTGTTCCATGCCGTTACATATAAATATATGCCGTGCCAACACATGCATTTACATATAAGTTCAAGATTATAAGGTATTTTTTAATAACAAAAAATAATCTTTATGAATTCAGTTGGATTAAGAACTGAATTTGCTTAAGCATAAAAATCATTTATATAGGTTACTTGTTGCTCCATCGCTGTCACCGTCTCTGCTGCCTTCATTGCTTCCGCTGACGTTCTTTGTTTTTCCGCTGACTTTCTCTGTTCTCATTAACTGCTTAAGACGATTTGTTACTATTGGCCGGTTCTAATTACAATTGGTCAATGCATTGATTTCCACGTTGGCAGATGTCCTAGTTAAGGTAAGCCACGTGCGCTGCATCTTTTTGGGTAGCCATCATGGGAACGCTAATTCGGATGTTTCCTTTGTTGGTACTAAATTGAACTTTTGGTTTTTTCATTCGGTTGCGCCATATGTACGGAGCTTGCATCTTCTTTGTCAACGATTGTGGAAACTAGGTTGTTAGCTCTTCCCTTCTTAATTGCGACTGTACTCGGTCCCAACGTAAAAGAGTAGCGGTCCGGGTTGTGTAGGCTTTTCCTGCATTTCCAGAAGGGGGTCGATTGTCCTTTTTTTCTGTTTACGTTTTCGTAGGAGTTATGTGGCCATGCCTATTATTAATCCAGGAGGATGATGGTAGATCCATGGCTAATAGAAGCTGATTAGTTGATTTGCTTCTTAGTTTCTCGATCACTTTTGTGTTGTTGTGTTTAATTATTTGATCATTCGAAGTGAGAGAAATTCCTCAAGTTAGTTTTTTTTCCCCATGAGTTAAAAAAACTGGAGGTACTGGTTTGGCTATGTTGATTTTTTCTTGATTTGTACGTCACCTCGCCAATAGTAACCGTTGAGTTTCGGTATTGTATGATAAAAGAGACATGTAGTTTTAGCTCCTTTCCATCCAGCGATACAGGTTCATTAAAATTGTTCAGCAGTATTGTGCCTTGCTGTATCTCCTCAAAATCTGGTATGTGCTGATTGTTAATTATCTTACATTCTGGCTCTCTTAGATTTACTAGTGCAGTTACACAAGTTTTCTTACTTAAATCTAAAAAATTTTTCAGAGTTACAAATAGTCTTATCATTATTGGATTCGCATGGTTCTGTTATTGCAAATAGTTGTTCCTTACATTCTAACAAATTTTGGTGATTTATATCGATGATAATTTGGACTTTCTTTATTACTTTAATTTTTAGTTTTCTGCAGTTGTATGTTTTTATGGTTGGTAGGCTAATAATGTAAAGGGGGTCATTGCCGAAACTCTAGTAATTCTTCTACGTTCAAAATTAAGCTATTTTCTTTTCTGAAGATATTTTCTATTATTGTGGTTTCTGTGGTTGTAAATACAAATGAATTTACTGTGTTTATTATATTAGTTATTTCCTCTTTTATTAACTGTATTTTATATTTTAGGATATTTGCTTTCTGATTTTGAATTTCCTCCGAGCTCTGAGAGACTTTTAGCATTGCATTAGTGACTTTAGTAAGTTGGTTGATTTTTTAATTAATTAATCTATGGATTTGGTTATATTATTGTTTTCTAATTGTTCATTTATCTTGTTCCCAAAATTTCGCAATCGTGATGACCTGGCGTTCCTGCCAGCCATTTCCACACAGGACCTATTGCTTCTATTGCGCTTTTTTGTCTTTTTCAAGCTTGTAGTCTGCGTAAATCAGTATGTAGCTGTCAAAATTCGTAAGAGAGATATTGGTGTAATGGGTGAGATGAAATGATTTTAGGAATGATTCGTCTTATTCCGAAAGCGTTTCTTCGTAGCTCTGTAAGCTAAAAATGTGGATGATTTTAAATGTTCCGTCTTGTTTAGCTGCCAGTCCTGTTTCAAGTGATGATTAACGAATTGGAATAATCGAGGACCGTGGTTATACCCAAGCCAAGACTCTTATTACCAACATAAAAGAGTCTGAAAATGTATGTTCTTATATTATTTTTATACCCTTGCAGGGTATTATAATTTCAGTCAGAAGTTTGCAACGCAGTGAAGGAGGCACCTCCGACTATATAAAGTATATATATTCTTGATCAGGACCAACAGCCGAGTCGATCTAACCATGTCCGTCTGTCCGTCTGTCCGTTTCTACGCAAACTAGTCTCTCAGTTTTGATGCTATCTGAATGAAACTTTGCAGTTAGTCTTCTATATACTCTCACTATTATATATGTCGGAACGGGCCGGATCGGACGACTATATCATATAGCTGCTATAGGAATGATCGGAAAATTTTTACAAAAAAATTTATAACATTTTTAGTTTTCAACAGAATTTGATCAAATTTGAGTTATAGCCATTTCATATTATTCTACAATTTTGTGTAAAATTTGATGAAAATCGGACGCCTATATCATATAGCTCCCATAGGATCGATCGAGAAATTAATTCAATTAAAAAGATAACATTTTCAGTTTTCAACAGATTTTCATCAAATTTGAGATATAGCCGTTTCATATTATTCTACAATTTTGTGTAAAATTTTATGAAAATCGGACTAATATATCATATAGCTCCCATAGGAACGATCGAGAAATTTGAGAGGAATGAGAATGGCGGTGGCTGTTGTCGGAAGACTGACAATCGCGGTGGCGATAACATTTTTAGTTTTCAACAGAATTTAATCAAAGTTGAGATATAGCCAATTCATATTATTCTACAATTTTGTGTAAAATTTTATCAAAATTGGACGACTATATCATATAGCTCCTATAGGAACGATCGAGAAATTAATTCAATTAAAAAGTATAACATTTTCAGTTTTCAACAGATTTTCATCAAATTTGATACATAGCCATTTTATAAGAAATAAAAGAAGTTAATAAAATTAAAGATTATAACTTCTTCAGTTTTCACCAGATTTTCATCAAATATCATTTTATTTTAATCTAAATGTTGTGTAAAGTTATAAAAAAAACCCGACTACTATATCACGAACGATCAAAAAATGAATACAATTAAAAATTATAACGTTTTAAGTTTTCAGCAGATTTTCATTAAATTTGAAATATAGCCATTTTATATCAGTCTTAAATTTTGTTGCAAATTTTATGAAAATCGGACGACTATATCACATAGGTGCCATACAAACGATCGTTAGATGTGGAGGAAAAATGCAAATCTGTGAATGTAAAACTGAAAATATAATATGTATAGGTGAATGAAATGAGAGCAGGTATTACTTCATTGTTTTTTTTTTTTAACATTAATATATATATTTTATATTGTATGGAAGGAATCCAGGAAGTCATCGAAGTTCTATCTGCAAGGGTATATAAACTTCGGCGTGCCGAAGTTAGCTTCCTTTCTTGTTATGTATGATTTTTTCGGTTTTGTGTTTTAATTGTGGTGTTTTTAACTCTGCTAATTTCTCTGTTTTGTAACTGGGTGTAAGTTTTGTTCCTAGTCGTTTATCTATTTTTACAAGTACTGTGTCGACTGGTGAATATTGAATCGGTTCCTTTCTCTTTTGAGTGTGATATTCTAGATAGGTAATTTTTTTTGTTTTTATTTTCTGTTTGATTATTTTATCAATGTCTTTTATTAAGCTTGGAATTGTGCTTTTGAAAAATATGTCTATAAGTCTCTCTTTCCTGAACTGATTTGAAAAGTAGGTCTGCAAATGTCATACTCTCGTTGTCTTTTTTGAGACATCGTATAATTTCGGTTAATGTTGATTGGAATATTTCTATTTG